AAGTGCACGATATTAGCGCAGGAGACGGAAATTTCGGCAAGAAAAGCATTAGAGGCGTTCTGGATTTTCCAAAGAAACCCAAAGATGAACGGTAGAGATGAGTGTCCGTCCATAACTAATGATCTTTTGCCATACATACCGCACTGCGAGTTGTGACTCAGTAGCAGTATAACGAGATCTTCCTTATCATAAGCATAAGGGAGACAGCAATAAGTCTCATTCGCTACTGACAGTCGCCTGTGGCGACAGCGGATTTTCTCCGCGTGAGCGGTGGAACCTTGGTGAGTCGCTTGCAAAATACGGGTTTCGAGTAAATCTTCAATTTGCAATAGGGGTCAAGACGCTTATTGGATGGCGTGTAAATCACCTCGAATTACGTTTAGGCCTCTGATGACGACGATTGAGTCGAAACGTTAGGCCGTTTGACTGAATAAAGTGTTCCACCTAAAAACCTCGTGTGGCACAAGATAATAATTATCACAAACAACAGCTATGCCGAGGTTAAAACAAGAGAGAAGTTGGAGACTGTTTGTTTATTGTGTTGAATTGCAGAGGGCCCCCGTGGCTTGTCAATTTCTTCCTTCAAGACGTAATAGGTGGGAATTGGAGGCTTTTTTCACTACGTCCTCGTTTTGGGACTCTTTCTAACGGATATCGCTGGCTGGAGGTAGCTGATGGACGAGCCATGAATTGTTGGGTGGTGTTTATCCAGATACCGTGTACTGCTCTTCGGCTCCTACGAAATAAGTTTGAAAAAGGAAATGAAATCAGAAAGCTGTTGACAACATTGTGTCCCAGCCACCCTACCTTTGGAAGGAGGAAATTGACTAACCATCTATACTTTCATAAATACTGGACAGTAATGTGCTTGTTTGAAACCTCCAAGTCGCTTGGTTTGGATGCATGCATCTGTAATGACAAACTCTGCCGGCAACCTGATACACAGCCTAGAAGGTTTACGTTCAAGTAGATACTCCATTTCATTTTTGAATATATATATTTCATATGTGAAACATAAAGAAACTATTACGTGACGAAATTAAATCAAACGAAAAATGCTGTCTAGCTATTTACTCAGGGAATATAACTTCGATTTCCTCTTTGTTTAGACTGGCTGTAATGCGGTACACTGATTCACATGCACCTGGTTCGCAAAGGCGTAAGTTGAAGAAGAATGCTCGAATATGTCTTCCAGGCTCGAGCAAGTTAAGGACTAGGAGAGACGACCAAGGACGCGCCGAACGTGCAGAGAAGGTTGGTTAATTGCAATGCACAGTTTAAGGCTTTCGACATTATCACTTCTTTTCTCATATAAACAGCTTTAACGTGGCTAATGAGGTTTCCCAACCAGGAAATCGGTCTTGTGATTCAAAGCACAGCTATTCTGATGTACATCTGGATTTTAATCGCGTCCATGATCCCTGATTTCGAAAAAAATATGAAGCGTGGCGGAGGTTGTAAAGTTTGGCTCGGTGGGCGGATGCACGCGGCTGTTTCTTGCGAGGTCTATAGCTTTCGGCTCACCGACTAACCCAGTTGAAGATCAGTGCCCTAGCCCACTCATCAACACTGGTCCTCCTTTTCTTTCATTCTGGATCAACATATGATTTATTGCAGCGTTTATGCTTTACAAAGTATATCAGACAAAGAATATATCTGTGATCAATATTCTTCTTCACTTCGCCTTCGTTGGTACTTGTGAATTTTCATACTCACTGACGACTACTCAACTTGCAGAAATTCTTTAATCCCTCCGTTTGCTGGTTCGATTCCTTTCGTCTAAACTTATTTGAGGATATCGAGGCGCTCGCTTTCGCTGTCGTTTCGCTGTTTCATAGCGGCTTCTTGTCTGTTGTCGCATTGTTTCAGCAATATGCCAAAGAAGGCTTCAAACGAAGCAACGCTTGTTCTCCGACGTGTGCCTGTACTAGTTATTCCTCGCAAGCGAAAATACAAGAACTATGTGTCACGGCGTCGGAATACACAACTCCTAGCTAGTCTGCGCAAGTGTGTCTCCGATCCGCACATGTACCGCAGCTACAACCATTGGAAAGGGCTGTGGAAAGAATTTTCTCCAACCAACACAACTTCTTCCGTTGATATTCCACGACTAATCGATGAAGAAGATCCTCCTCGAACACCTGTTGTTACCAGCATCGTAGTTGCTCCCACAGTAGATGCAGGAAGATCACCTCTTTTAAAGCAGGTTTCTGAGAGAATCGGCGACCTCGAAAACAACGGACTGAGTCAGACGGCTCTTCATATCCCATTCCTGTCCGAAAAGGAAGCCACCATACAAGGTAGACGTCCATTTCAAAAAGGGTTGTCGCCCAAAACATTCTCGACGTGTTCTGTTTCTGACAACCCGAAAACACAAGCATTTCATGCGAAGAGCCACTTAGAAGAGTTCAATGATAACCACCCAGGAGAAAAGGATAGCAAATTGCGGTCATCCGTCGATATCACAGTGAAAGGCTCTGCTTGTTTAGTCCTTGAAAAATCCAGAGCTCCATCTCCTGCAAGTTTCATAAATGCTTCTCCAGAATCGTTCGGTGACAAAAGTATCGTGACAGTGAACAAGAAGGCTAAAACTCTTTCGAAATTTATCACCACCGGACCAGCACTTTCGGGAGAGCAATGTGACATGGCGACAATCACACCTTTGGTACCGAAGGTACTAAGGAAGGCTTATGGATCAAAAAGTGGTACTACAATTTGTGCTATTGGTCCTTCTCTAAATGCAACCTCGGTGAAGAACGTTAACACTGAAGACCAGCGTGTAATTGAGAAAAAAGTATCTCTTCGAAAGAGGGTAGACCATGTCAAGGAAATTGCCGTGGGCCAGGCTCCATTGAAATGTCAAATGGATATTGGGGATAAGTCCAATCAAGCAGATGAGCAGAGGGCCAAGAGAACGTTGAATGCAATAGCAGCGGCATTCTCCACTCAGTCCAATTCAATCGATAATCCTGAGAACGCGAAGATGGAAGAGAAAAGGGAAGTTGTGATGGACACCATACAACAAGTATCTGCGAAAGGTAGCGCTTCGGCCACTTCAAATTTATTGGCTCAACTTCAACTTCCGCCCACTGTTTCAGCCAAAGTTGATAAAATAATAGCCTTGGGGCAGAAGTCAAGGATTCACAAGCCTAGCGATCAGGTCCTTTGTTAGCAGACTTGTTCGGATGTTCTTGATTTTTTTATTATTGCTGCTTTAGAGAGCGCGGATGAAAGCGCACCTCGATCGGCAAGTAGGAGTGTTGCCTGATGATGATGATGGCCACCTGATTTTCAAGAAAAACGACATACTTCATGGGCGATGTTAGTTGATTTTCCCCAATCCGTTTATGGTGAATTTCAGATAAGACTTGTGCGTGAGCTTAATTGAGCTCAAATTTGTTGTAGGTCTTTTTATGGACTGGTTTGTTTCCATATTTGTTCACATCGTTCTTTCTAGGGGAGCTTCGTGAGGAACTTGGTGAAGGGACTTTTGGAAGAGTAATTAAGGCTTACGATAAGCAGGTCTGTTGAGCATGGCAGACATAAATAGTACTGTTATTTGTATGTCTAACAATAGCTTTGATTTTATTTTCGTATTTTAGAGAGATAAAATGAGGGCTGTGAAGATTGTACGTAATGTTCATAAGTATCGAGATGCTGCCTATTTAGAAATCAAGGTTCTCACAAAGTTGAAGCAGTTGGATCCGAATGGAACGCAGTAAGTTTGAAGCCCTTTAAATTCATTAGTCTCCTGCAGTTTTGTGCTGTATCAAAGTCTTCTTTCCTGTGTTTCATCCAATTGCTATTAAATTGTAAACGTATTCGTTATCCCTGTACAATTCGTGTGCTATCTTTATTGATGATGCCTTGGTCTTTCAAGAGCATTCTCCTCCACGGTAGGCGCATACCACAGTCAGTTCACATACAGTCAATGGTGTGTCAGTCTCATAACCCCCGAAATTATATAAATAACAACTGTGAAGCAAACATGTTCGCGCTGGTTGTTTTTCCCAACATTTGGTGCTTTTTAAGTGTCCCTGTTACAAGTTTCATGCCCGAATCCGCCCAGTATTTCTGCACTAATGATGGAAAAACGCACACAATTATGGAGATCATTGCCCGTTGCGATTTCTACACGCTGAGAGTGGCTCCTTTACTGTGGGATAACACCTATTAATCGCAGGGAAGGCTTAGAACCACATCCATTTTTCGGCATAATTTTACTTCGGCAAATACGCTCATTCTGTGAAACAGCAAATTCCATTTCTTCCATTCGCTATGTTTTGTTGGAATATTTGATTACCATCAGCTGTCGTGGCATTAATTTTCACGTGTGCGTCTGACATTTCACTCTTTCCTTTTCTTCGACATTGTTTCTAACAAGCGAGATGATTGGGCCCTATACATGTGTTAGATTAGTTTTGAAATGGAATATAAAGAAGGGGGTGAAAAAATCGCGAAAAAAAAATTTAAAAAATCATAGGATTTTCGACATGATATATCTCACGTGAATTTGGCAGGAAAACACCCCCTCTTATAATGAATAACAATGAAACACATGCATAATCTACAAATCAGAAACAGAGGCAAAAGTTTCGGATGTGGAATACTTGTTGGAACCAAAACAACCTTAAAGCCAGGTAATTGGTAGAATTTGGGTGCACGTTTTGTTCTGTGATGATGTTTTCTGTTTTCAAACAAGGCATCCAATTCTTAAAGGTTGTTTTTGGGGAAAAGGTTTTTCACACTCAAGTTATCCCATTCACTGAATTCGTTCACCAAGTTTTTTTTTCTTATGTGTTTCATATACGAAATCGATTGCCAATATTACATAAAGCAAATAACATAGCCACGCCCATCTTGCGCATCAGCGAGGTTGTCCTGGCAGCATCCTGAGCGAATGCGCTCTCTTGCTGTCTGTTCACTGTTCCGTCTTGGTATTCGTTTGCACTGGAGCGATCAACTGTTGTTGGAGCATAGGTTGCCGATTAAAGTGACTGTCTGTCCTTCTTCGGCGACCTATGCCGAACTTCCTTGATCCAATAAAGATTATTCTTACTATATATAACGCGGTTGCATCTGTTTGGTGTTTATTTATACAGAAATTCTGCTTGGAGAAGCATCTGCAAAGTCGGGTCAATTATTGGATATGTTGAGCATAGGGCAAGACCGAAAGAGCTCATGCGAGTTCAGCGGAGCTCCGCCCACAGGGGCGGGAGGTGCACAGGAGTGGGCGGTGTCGTAGGCTAAATTCCTCATATAGGTTTCATAAGAGCCCAGACGCCGGAAAAAATGAACAAAAGTGAGAGATGGATCAACAAGCGAAAAAAGGAGACTCACCGGCGAAGGCGTAGGGGCCAGAAAAAATAGGAGTCAGCAAGGTTCACCAAGTGCAGGGCGTCCGCGGGCTCAGTGAAGCTCCTCAACCATGAGCGAAGCGTGCATACAAAAGGAACGTTTTTTCTTTAGAGAAATTCTTTATTATATTTGCAAACGTCTACATAGAATGCGGAAAAATTCGTGGGGGTAATAGAAGAAATGGGGTCAAATCCGCGAAGTGGATGGGGTTGCATTGCTGTGCCAAGATCAGAAATTGATAACTCTGTTCAACGTTTCAGAACGCGGAGAAATGATTAGAGGTAATAGGAGAAATGTGGACAAATAGATCAAATGGGCGTAGTTTGCACCAAAGTGGGCTTGGTTAGGAGCAAAAATTCATAACGGTGTTCAAAAGCGTTCTAGAACGCGGGAAAAATAGGGCTGATGTAGTGAAAGAAATGTGGTCGATTATTATTTCAAGTGGGTCTTAATTCTACTTCAAAAAAAATCAAGACACCGGCAAAATTGGGCAAAAGTTAACATTGGGTCAACAATTCAGACAAAGGGGACTTATCCGCGGTGAGCCAAACGTTCCCGTCTGAGCTTTTTGCATGAACTCCTAGTCCACCACAGCCTATAGTAGCTAGGTTCTCGAGGGATAAAGCTCAGATCGAAAATTTCATCTCTGTATGGCGCTCATCTCTGTTCTTTGTTGTGAAGCAGGCGCGAATGTGCGTAGCCCAACTGGTGTTGCTATAAGCACTGCGGTGGGCAACTAAGCACTTACTGAATTTTTCTTTCTTCGTGCCGCAGGTGCATACATACATACCTCTTATTCACGGTATTTTCGTCTCGCACAATTTTCATCTGCACCATAGACCTACGCAGTTGGGTGTGATCAAGCTCCAAACACATGAAGTTGTTCGAGAAGAAATGCATTCGGATTTTATGTCTTCTTTTTCCGGAAAACTCTTCCTCTTTTCACGCTTAATGATCCTTACCACAAATCCTTAGCGCTCCCCCGTTAGAGCTACAATTAGTTCACAATAATTTTGGGTTGTTTAGTTTCGGACCAATAATGGAAGCGGTAGCATAGAACAGTGGAAAAGTGACGAAAATCCGCTTAAATCTGCTACCCACCAGTGAAGGATCCCAAACCGAAGTCGCCGTTTGGAATGAGACCTACACTGCTAGATGTAATTTCGGATACTGATCTCAAATCTGCTTTCCAAGTTTGCCGAACGATTCTCTGAATGGTATTAAGAGTTGATTTCGGGTGATATGCGACATAAGATAACTTAAAATACGTAGATGAACCAGGTCGTAAAGTACGTAGATGAACCAGGGCGGCTAGGCTTTTGCGCTATATTGAATTTTTTCCTTGAAGTCGATGGATTTCTTTGATGTTGACTTTATCTAATTTAAGACATTTTGAGGTTGTAGTGACAATTTCTTACCCGAAATATGCAATACCCCTTAATTTTTTGCATGTTTGTGCACGCTATAATCGCAGTGGGGCAAGTGGGGCAAGTGGTGACAGCATGTGCACTATCACACACAGATGAGCCAGAAATCGAACTCCGCATCGATCTGGGAGGTTGAAAGCATGACGTGTACATTGGCATGCTCACCCTGAATCATTGCGTAAGCCATATATGCATTCTAAACGCCACTGGAAAATCGAATACGAGGTATATCCCAAAGGCTGAATCAATAAACGTCTTAGTCTTGACCCTTTAAATCCTTTACATTCACGATAACATTTTTGGGAAATATGCACAGTCTCTGCAATCACTGGTCCGCTACAAGACTTGAGAAGTAGATGAGCTAGAACGGTTGCTCTCTGCAACCACCCATTTTCCACAGTTATGCCTTGAGCTTTCGTTTATGGCATCTAAACCAGAAAACCTTCGGTGTTCTAGTGGGTACGATCGTGCCGACACTCCGAACACCTCAAGACCAACCTTGTTTGTAGTAGATTCTGGCCATCATTAAAAGATCATGAAGCTATTCAGTCCGCTTTACCTCCACAAAAGCAGGTGAAGCATCTCTGCTGTACCACGATAATAATAATACTAATAATGGCTGATCCTACTATCTACTTATATATAATCCACAAGTTTGGTGTGTCTGTTTGAATGTATGTTTGTCTGTCTGTCACGCGATCCTGTTTTACCTGAGGAAACACCTCTAGAGGTCGGGAAAAGTTCGGGAAGGGTGGGGCCTGAAAGAGGATAAACAGAGCACATACGTGCTCTGCGAAGCTCCGCCCGCTGGGAGCGGGGCAAGTGCCGGAATGGGCGGAGCCAAGAGCTAAACATCTTATTACGGCCTCGAGAAAGTCCAGACACCGGGAAAAAATGAGCAAAGGTGAGAATCGGGTCAAGAAACAAGACGGAGGAGACCCACGTGCTGTGGGCGGAGCATTCTCAAAATGGGCGGTACTTTCCAGATCTGCTCATAACTCGATTCAATTAAGTCAAAGAGGCCAGGGAAAAAATAAAAAGAGTGAGTAGGGCCTTATGCGTGCTGGGCATTCGTAAGCTTAGCGACGTCCCGCCCACGATGTTCGGGGCGTGCATTGAGACGAGAGCCACTTTTCAAAAATGAATGCAATTTTGCCTGGAACCGCTCTAGAATGCGAGAAAAAAGTGGTAAGATGTAAAAGAACAAATGTGATCAAATCCTAGAAGTGAACGGGGTTGGCTCTGAAGTGGGCGGAGCTTAGATCAAAAATTTATAACATTTAGAAACCTTCGGGGATGCAGCGAAAAGGTGTCAAGTTGTAAAAGAACAAACTTAATCAAACCCCAGAAGT